TTATTGGTCCTCTTAGAAATGTGCACATCGTGCTACTTTGGCTTTTTTGCCAGCACCGATGTTGTCCTGACTCTCTTCATTCTGTTCCTGTGCTCCTTCCACTATTTTCGGGAGAAAAAAAATTATCATAAAGGCCATGTCTTGAGAGTCTGTGCTGAGGCTCATTCTTCTTTGCATAATCTAGAAGATCATAGATCATTCTGAAGATAGTCATCTTGCCACTGCCAAAGCAGGTTCTGAATCCAAAGACAAAGATGATACCTGGCATGGTTTTGTACATTTTGGCCGGCTTTGCCCAAATTTCTGTCTCTGGCACCTTTGCCTTGCCAGAATGAAGGCCATCAATGACAGTCCGTTTCCTCTGAAGAAGACGGTTTGTCATGTGCTTCCTGGTCCGGATCATCACGTGTCATTCATGGTAGTGCCTGAGCTGCAGAGGAGGACTATAACGCAATTTTAAATTAAATTTATTCTTAGATGATACAAAGAAATATTGGTAGATGATACAAAGAAATACAAAAGTCATTCATATTAAGAAAGTCCCATGATATATGTTTATATATCTATAATAACATATTACACACATATATATCATATGGGAATTTATTAATATATGACTTTAATATATAATTATATAGACATACATTAATATGTATATATACACAGGTATATTTATGGGCATGTATGTATATGCACACACATCCAGAGAGAGAGATGGGTAAGAGATGTTCCAATTAGGTTTAATCTACTTGCCTGCGCAAACATTGACTATTTCTTCATAGGGAAGATGCTCAAGAGTCTTTCAGCTTGTGGAGTAGTACAGTGCGGAACTGTGGGCTGTGCTCAGCCTACCGGGCAGTAGCACGCAGAGCTGCTTGCTTCTACCTAACTGTAGCTCACATCCACTATCCAGCCTCCCCCCTTCCTCCTTCCCGCCCGTGCTGTCAGCTTCTGAGTTTCTGCGTGATCAACTGTTTTAGGGTGCACATGTGTGTAATGACATGAGGAGGGGCTTTATTTCTGCATTTCGGAGTTACTTTTAAAAACCAAAGGAGCCGTCTTTTAAAACCAGATCAGCCTGTTCTTTGTACTTCGTGAATGCCTGCACTGATTTGAGTTTACTGTGGGCAATGTGCATTATAGACATAATGAAAAATACGAACAAAAAGATGCGATAGGAAAACAAAATTATAGATAAGTAGTACATGTAGAAAGCTCATCACAACTGTGGACAGTTGGGACTTTGGCATCGCCTTGGTGGAAAGACTACAAGGAAACTAATGAGAGAAATATGACTAGCCCGGTAACAAAACACAGGTAAAGGTCATGAATAGCCATTTTATAAAAAAGAAAATTAACATGGTTTTCCTGGTATAATTATGCGCTTTCAAAAAATAGGATCACAGGCAGACCCCAAGAATGGCGGTTTGCTCTGTTTCTGAGAGTTTAGGAAGGAAGTTGGGCTCAGTGGGTCATAACTGAGAACAACAGAATGCCTCTTGTTTTGGAGAGTAATTATCGTTAGTCAGATTTCTGGAGCTTAAGAGACCATGGTGGGAAATCACGAACGTTTACGTCATGCTGTGCAGTGGAGGGCCTCAGTGACGGAGAGCAAGCCCCCACAGGAGAGAGGAGGGAAAATGTGTGTCTAGCACACACCGGGGTGGGCTTTCTTTTAATCTCTTATTTTCCTGACATGTTTTTGATTGAATGATTGGCTGATTGACTGATTGGAGAGATAACCAATGTACTTAACATTTGTGGAGATCTTAAAACTTAAAATAAATATGAATTTATCTGCAGAGAAAAAGTGTGTCTATGAATGGGGTTTTGTGCACTGAGGACACGTACATATTGAATAATGTTGAAGCCAGACTCTGTATAACTATCTCTTCCAATACCTAACAATTCACCTATCATAAAAAAAAAAAAAGGCTAACAAAAGCAGAGAGGGGGGAGGAAAGAGTGGCAGGGTGTGAGGGCACATATGTTCAAACATACCATGTACATGTACAAAACCACAAGAACAAACATTGAAAATGCTTTCACCAAAGCAGCCACAGTCATCCGGCTAAGCAACAGCAGAGTGGAACTTCTTTCTCCTGGAAGTAACTTTGTGCCCATCAGATACCTTTCTCCTCCTTTTCTTTCTTTTTTGTTGGTTTGATTGGTTGTTTGAGGTTTTGTTTTGTTGAGACAGGGTCTCTCTACATAGCCCTGGCTGTCCTGGAACTCACTATGTAGACAAGGCTGGCCTCGACCTCACAGAGATTCTCCTAGCTCTGTCTCCCAAGTGCTGAGATTAAATATGTGTACCACCATGCCTGGGCTCCCCTCTGTTTTACCCTGAGCTCCAGTAATCACAATTCCACCTGTAATTTCTGTTCAATTTTAAGAGAGTGCGTCTGTGATATCATGTAGGATTCGTCTTCCTGTGTCTGGTTTATCTCATTTAACACAATGATCTCCAGGTTCACAGAAAAAAACAAACAAACAAACAAACAAAAAAACCCAAAAACATTACCCTACAGAAGAGTGTAAGGAAAATGAAGGGAAGGGCAGTGTCACTCCATGATCACTACCCAGAAACAGGAGACATTTTACAGAATTCTCTGCCTGTACCTGTTATGGCACACATTTTTATATGATGTTATCTTTCTCTATACATACTTTGTGCTATTTCTATCACTTTCAATCCAAACTGCCAATGGATCTGCAATAGAATTCTCTTTGAGTTGTTTTGTCTCTTATAAATAATATTGGAGTTTGCCTCATAGACAAAACCCATACACAGATTTAAAACCAAACAAAACAAAACACCTTTTGTCCCTTCAGTTCTAATGAGAGTGTTTGAGAGAAGTTAGCTAATGGGACATTTCTCTAGTGTCATCTGCAGCCTTTGCAGTCACCCTCAGCTTTATCCTCAGAACACATTTCACTGAGGAAAATCTGAGGAATGTTTGCCCAGAAGCAAATTCTTAATTTTAGCTTTGTATTTCTCCATCATAGCATATCATTATAAACATCCACTGACTCCACATCACACACACTTTTCTACTTGGACATATGGATAGCTAGGTCTACAACATAACAAGATTCTCATGCCTTCATATATTTTGCAAAAAAAAAAAAAAACATTTTGAAATAACTGCTTTAATCCTATAAGCTGCTGTTTTGTCATTTTTAAGATTATACACTGAAGCAGCCATTTCTGACTTTTTTACTTTCAACTACTCACAGAGTGAGTCAAGCATGGTTATTTTTCAGATTTCAGCATTTTCCCCCTTAGGTTATCTTCTGAGATGTAAAATAACTGGGTCAAAGGATATTAATATTTTAATTACTTGATAAATATTACAAAGCTGCTTCTCGGGGAGGCTGGATCATTTTTCACCTTGCTATCTTTCTTACTTTAGGCTTGTTCCTTATCTCATTTTCTCTCTCATAATCTTCCTGCTTTCAGCTTTTTGTTAGTCTTCATGCTGTGTTGTTCTTACTTCTAATTAAACATCCAATCACCAGTTTTTTGGTTCCAGTATAAACACATCATGAGGAGGCCGATATCCTCCTTTGTCCTCCCATATTTTCTTCAATGTAGACTATATATACATTACCTATCAAATGATTTTCAATTTCTGGTGTGTGTGTGTGTGTGTGTGTGTGTGTGTGTGTGTGTGTGTGTGTTCCCACACGTGTGAGTGTATGCCATATATGTGCAGGTACCCTTGGGGGCCAGAGAGGACACTGGATCCTTTGGAGTTGTAGGAAGTGTGTCCCAAAGTGGGTGCTAGAACACAAGTCATTTCCTCTGGGAGAGCAGGGAGCACTTTAACTGCGGAGCCTTCTCCTCAGCCCTCCGTTTTCTTCTTTTTATGTTGTCTTCTTTTTTTTTAATTTTTTATTAATTACACTTTATTCATTTTGTATCCCCCCATAAGCCCCTCCCTCCTCCCCTCCCGATCACACCCTCCCTCCCCTTTCTGCATGCATGTCACTCCCTAAGTCCACTGATAGGGGACATTCTCCTCTTCTTTCTGATCTTAGTCTATCAGTTCTCATCAAAAGTGGCTGCATTGTCCTCTACTGTGGCCTGGTAAGGCTGCTCCCCACTCAGGGGGAAGTGATCAACGAGCAGGCCAATCAGATTATGTCAGAGGCCGTCCCTCTTCCCATTACTATGTAACCCACTTGGACACTGAACTGCCATGGGCTACACCTGTGCAGGGGTTCCAGGTCATCTCCACAAATAGTCCTTGGTTGGAGTATGAGTCTCTGGGAAGTTCCCTGTGTTCAAATTATCTTGTTCTGTTGCTCTCCTTGTGGAGTTCCCGTACCCTCCAGCTCTTACTATTTCCCACTTCTTACATAAAATTCCATTCACTCTGCCCGTCAGTTGGCCATCAGGCTCAGCATCTGCTTTGACAGTCTATACTGCAGAAGCTTTCAGAGGTCCTCTGTGGCAGGTTTCAAGGTTGTTCCTCAAGATCCAGCCATACCACTCCTAGGCATATACCCAAAAGAGGTGCACGTACACAAAAAGGACATTTGCTCAACCATGTTTGTAGCAGCTTTATTTGTAATAGCCAGAAGCTGGAAACAGCCCAGATGCCCCTCAACTGAAGAATGAATGCAGAAACTGTGGTACATCTATACAATGGAGTATTACTCAGCAATGAAAAATAAGGAAATCATTCAATTTGCAGGTAAATGGTGGGACCTGGAAAGGATCATCCTGAGTGAGTTGTCCCAGAAGCAAAAAGACCTACATGGTATATACTCACTCATATAAACATACAATATAAATTAACCCACTAAAATCTGTACATCTAAACAAACTAAGCAAAAGAGAGGACCCTAGCTAAAATGTTCAATCCCCATCCTAAAAGGCAAAGAGGATGGACATCAGAAGAAAAAGAAAATAGGAAACAACCTTGGAACCTGCTACAGAGGGCCTCTGAAAGCCAGAAGAAAACAGGAAACAACCTTGTTGTCTTCTTTTTTAAGAATTGTGCTTTAATTAAACTTTTCCAATAAGATGGATCACCCTCAGAATGCCATAACAGGTGCTCAGAACACATGCCACTGAACGTGTACCGTTCCAGGCCTTCATCAGAACACACCGCTCCTGCTCACGCTGCGGCCTCGGGCTTTCCCAACACTTGCTTTAATTTTAGTCTTCTGTGCGTTTCTTTGCTGCGTGTGTTGCTGTGTGCTCCTGCGTGTGCACAGCTATGTGCAGGTACACGGGCACATGGGGAAGCATGTCTGTGTGAAGGCCAGAGGCTGACGCTAGGTGCCTTCCTCAGTTGGTCCCCACCTTGTTTTTTGAGCCGTGGTCTCTCACTGGATCTGCAACCTCGCTGACTCAACCAGACTACGCAGTCCATGAGCCCCAGGATTCTCCCTCCCCTGCTCCAGCCATTATGTGGGATCATGTATGTGCCAATGTGTGAGTGGGCAGTGTGTGTGTGTGTGCCAGTTGTATGGGTGTGTGGTGTGTGAGTGTGCCCGTGTATAAGTGTGCCCGTATTCTTAGTGTTCTTCTACGGGTTCTGGGTGATCACACTTGGGTCTTCATCCTCCACAGCAGGCAGTTCCCAGCTCTTCTGTGCATATCTTATTAATTTTGATCCGAAGAGTTCTAGAAGTGGCTGAACACAGACAATGATTAATAAATCCACTATGACATTATGACATCAGAAGTGCCTCTGTCCAAAACGTAAAGGCACAGGACGTGACAGCTCGGGCATTTTTGCTGCCCACCTATGCAAAGGCCAGAAACTAAAAGCACAACTCACAGCTTCAATTTCTCTTTGGTTATAAATAATAGGAGAGATTAATTCCTGGGAGAAGTATGATAGGGTGACGGTATGTGCGTGCATGCGTGTACGTGCGTGTCAAACTTGCCTATCATATAAAGAAAGCATATTAAGGCCAGGCAAGACAGCTCGCTGGGTAAAGGGGACTGCTGCAAAGCATGACTCTATGAATTCAATCCTTGGGATTGACTCCACCAGGTTGTCCTCTGACCTCCATTCTTGCACCATAGCATGTATGCCCCCACACACAGATAGATAGATAGATAGATAGATAGATAGATAGATAGATAGATAGATAGA